AAGATTATTATTACTGATTTTTTTTCTATCTGTAGGAATCTCTTTCCCTGTATCAGCATCAGGGGTACAGTGAGAAATGAGGCTGGTTGTGAAAAATAGAAAGAGCCAGAATAGACCTAACTCCTAACATGCAAAAACCACTGCCTGCAACACACATTGGGGAAGATTTGTAGCAACTCGAACATATTTTTCTTTACTCAAGAAGTGCAACAGACAACAGCATAGGAAATCAATATTAAATACCTGATTCATATGCACATTAATGCTGCCAGTCAAAAAGAGTTATCTTTTGGAAAGGAGAGCACAAAATTGTTCAACATTGTGAAATTGTTCAACATTGTGAAGCATCGAACATAATAAGGGAGCTGTAAGGTGTACCCTGGACAGAGAATCAAAGCCTGTCCCGCTTATACCAACAGAAACCTGGAAAAATATATCCTGTCTTATTACCTGCCCTTGACACAGGCTTATTTCTGTAGTAATTAGGGCTGCTAGAAGATAATCTCCTGAAATTAATTCAATGTTTAGTTAGAGTTTATTAGAACATAAACACTGTAAATCATTTTACGTGAGCATTTAATCTGCTTGAGCTCCTTATTTCTATTTCTGACATTGGTGATCCCCTGCCTGTGCTAAATTCTCACTAGTAGGTAACTAAGCAGACGTGAAAACCCAAATCTAGGAGTTTTACAGAAAAAGTGGCTATGGTTTTCGGGCCAAAGGGCCCTTGTTGCGGCTCTGCACCTGACTTGCTGTGTGACCTTGCACAAGCTGTTTTAAGAGCATCAGTTGTTCTCCTAAGAGAATCCACTTTTCTATCTATAAAATGGGAACAATACTGATAATGATGTAGATTAGGCAGAGCAGGGAGAGCCTGTGGAATTGTACACAAAAAGGGATGCTGCATGACAACAGCACGGACACTGTTCTGAGCTCCCAAAACTGAGAAATCCATCGCCACTCTCTCCGGAGAGCCCACGCATTATTAAAGGGGGCATAGTGGTGAAGTGCGGGATGGTAGAAGGGGTGAAACAGTGAAATTGTGTGTAAACTAAACAGTGGACAGTCAGGAAGCATTCACTGACCTGATGAGAGGGTGTGGTCTCGGAAGATCTTTCAGGTTGAGGTGATGTTGGACTAGGGGAAGATTTGTAGTCCTGGTAAATAGGGAGGGCAAAGCTGGAAGTCCACAATTAGGGGCAAATGTGCACAAAGAGTATGTTTTTCAGGAATAGGGAACTAAAAGAATTCATGGGTCCCAGAGCTCAGGGCAGGGCAGTTGAGGTTTTCAGGGCTGGTCAAGGAGAATGATGTATGTAAATCAAGGGAACTGCATCTCAGCCTACAGGAGAGAGGGAGCTAGTGAAGGTGTTTTAGGCAGGAGACAATCAAATTTGCATTTTAAGGAATTACGTTTGGTAGTAGTTTAATAAATGGGTCAAAAGAGGAAAGGCTAGGGGCACTTGGGCATTTACAGTAGCCCAGGGAAAAGATGAGGCACTGAATGAAACAGCAGCAATGGTAACAAATACCCTGAGGAACATTTGGGAGGGGTATGAACGTGTTTGGTATCTGACTAGTTACGGAGATGCACATGCCATGAATCTTATTAGGAAGGGCTAGTGGGGCCTCCCTGTGGAAGGTGATGGACTGGGATGTCTGCATGTGGGATCTCAGGGAAGAGCAAGGGCTTATAATTTGGAAATAAAGTAGATGGTAGTGAAAACCATAAGGTTGCAAATAGAGGGGTTAGAATGAGAGAAGCAGTGGAGAACAGAAAGAATCCTTCAGGATCCTTTAGTACAGCAGAGCTTAAAAATAGAAGAAATAGAATTTATCAAAGAGGCAGAGGAAGAACAAACAGATACAAGGTAGCAGGAGATCCAGGGCAGAGAGTCCTGTGATAGACACTACCAGAGTAAAGAATACTATCAGCAAGCTTACTTGAGATAAAAAATGATAAGGATGAAGGGCCAGCCACTGAAGCTGATAATTCTAGAAGTCCTTTGGTTTCCGGTCCTGGTGCAGTCAGTTAAGAGGTTGGGGCAGAAAAGTGAGGAGGAAGTTACAAGTGAAGACACTGAGTGTAAATAACTATCAGGAATATCAGACTTAAGGAGAAAGCAGGAGAACAAAGTAGCCTGGGGTGGGAGGAAAAGGGGTTGACTTTGAATAAAAGTGGAAAAGACATGGGTGGGTATGTTTATTTCCTGAAGGTTATGGACCATTTATACAATCAACTGGAGAGCAAGAAGAGAGAAGGGATGTTCCATGCAGCCAGCTTCTGCATGAGCGGTAATGGGAATGAAGACGTAGGGGAGGAATTGACCTTGGACAGAAAGACTTTTTGCTGTGATGAGAAAGGATAGGAAAAAGGATAAATGTAGCCTGAAGTAAAATAGCCAGTGGAGGTGCCCAGAGAGATGAAGCCAGGCCTAATTAAGGGGAAGCCATCAGCAGGCTGATGTCGATGAAGGTAGGGAGTGTGTTTAAGAATAATAGGAATAGGAAGTGGAGCTAAAACCCAAATCGTTTGGATTAATGAACTGCAACTGGCCTAATGTCACACTCTGGAGATGGGAAGGGTTCTGGCAGAGCTCAGCAGCTCTGCTCTGGCCTAGAAGGACTATTATACCCTTGATCCAAGACCAGGGTTGTGTAGGCAAGCACTGGGGAGGGGAGGAAGGGAAGAGTTGACAGTAATTTGGTTTACAGCATGTTGATTCGCTGTTAGGTTAAACAATAGGGGTTTTCTTTATGGAGATGAAGGTGGGTGTTGATTTTTTTTTCTTGAGACTGAGCACATAACCAAGAAAAGGGAGGAAACTTCTACAGTCAATGGCCCTTAATCCCATGCTTGAAACTGTGGCCCACTTTGTCCACTGACTTTCTTAGCAAATCCTAGGTTGCTGATTAGCTATAGGAAGGATATGGAAGAGAAGGTGGGCAGCAATTTAATTCCTGTGTTATGCACAATCGGTATGACAATTTCATGTCAGATCCTATTTGCATGGGCCTATGGATTCATTAAAGATTCTGCAAGGAGAGTTTGTACTTAAACACCTGTGTGCTCCAGGTGGAAAATCATTTCCTTTACTGTTTTCCAGAGTTAGCTAATTGTTTAAAAACTGTTCTGACTGATAGTTCTTCTGGTTGAAATAGCCTCTCAGGCATTCATACCAAGGATGTTCAGAGGCAATTCTTGAATGTGATTTGCAGGACTAGCTGGTGCCAGCACTTCAACAATAGGCCAAGCCGCTCTCTGGGAACAGTGAGAAGAAGGGTCAAAGTACTATTGTGGTGCCGGCCTTCGTTCCAGCAACTCTGGTTTTGGAATCAGGCAGTAGAGGCACACACAACAACTTGTGGGAATAGGCACAGGCCAATCATAGGCCAGTTATTGAAGCCCCGATGAATTGTATATTTTAAGGATGAATATTTTGGGAAAAGCATTAGATTGGGAGTCAGAAAATCTGGGTCCTCTTCTAAGCAAATCACACGAGAGATGTGGGCCTCAATGTCTTCACCTGGAAAAAAAAAAAAAAAAAACAAAACACAGAACCACCGAAAGGACCTGGGAGGCAAGATAGCTGCAAGCTAAATCCTGACTCCTTTTATCTGTTTTATATTTCAGGGGCTCCCAGGATTATTTGTTTAAGGAGTAAAATCTGATACTAAAAGAAGTTTAAAGGCTTCTAGCAAGAATGTGTTTTCTAAGACTTTTCTAGAATTCTGGTACTCTAAATGGGAATAACCAGCAGTTACATTTAATGTAATTCTCATGATTCTAATAGTTTTAATTATTGATTTTCAGCCTGTTTGTTGTTTGATTTTTTGAAAACAGCTTCACATTAGCCACAATTTGGAATTTCTTAGCTTGAGTTCCCTGGGTGGACTGCTGGGAGTCTGTGAAACCTTTACCCACACATGCAAAACTCTGTGGGTTTGGGCATAAAGATGTCAGAACTTTCATCTTTCAACAAGTAAAGGAAAGTGGTAACGGCACAGCGGTAAGCTGTCCCCGCTCAGTGGGAGTCAGAAACATCCAGATCTCCAGTTGACACATGGTGAATTTGAATAGATTGAGCAGACTTGACAATGAGAACAACTTCCCAAGTCCCCTCACACAACTCCATCCCTTTCCCAAGATGACATCACATCACCAGTTCGTCTTCATAGAATTGTGGGTGGGGAGGGCACCAACAGGGTCTTCAGTCACGGTGCAACATTCCCCCATAATCTTACCTTTCCTGGCATTTGAAAGATGCCAGGATGAAATTCTTTGGCTGTCTATGCCAACCCTCAGCTCTGACATCTTTCTACTAGATAGAGAGAACCATATATTCTTCACTTTTGAATCCATAGCCTTGTTACCCTGAAGCTCTAAATGCCTTGTGGGCCTGAAGGTAAGTGTTCTTAAAAAGATGTATTCTGAAGTAATTAGGAAGAATAAGAGTCAAGGAAAACAAGGATGTTTGGCCATTCAATAACATCTTGACTTGGAAGACTTCAGTTTTTCTGAGTGCATTTTCAACTCTATTTGGTATCAAGTATCTGTGAGATTATTAGCCTTCTAGTCAATAGAAGACATTCCCATGGTCATTTAGGTCCCAGTTCAAAGGGGAATAGCCTGGTGGGGGAGAAGGAAGCATGGACCTGAGGCAGCAGCAGGAAATGGGGGCAGAGATGAGCCTGTCATGGAATATGAGGTGTCAGAGAGAAGCCTCCAGACACATTAAGCCAATCAAAGGGTCATATGCAGACCCTAACTCACAGAGCAGGGTAGGGCTGGGTTCCAGGGTGTGTGCCCCTGATGCACCTGCGTGGCACAAAGCTCCTTTTAGAAATGGTAGGCTAGCACGGACACGGTGCAGCCGATAAACCACGGAGCATGCAAAATCAGACAGACAAAACCTGGTAACAACATGTAGAACTGAAAGCCGACTTGAAGCACCGTGAGGATTCCCAGAACGTGACCCTCTGCTCTCCTTTCATTGCAGATGCTGCACAACAAGCATGTCATGGTGCGCGTGGGAGGCGGCTGGGAGACTTTCGCAGGGTACTTGCTGAAACACGACCCCTGCCGGATGCTGCAGATCTCCCGCGTGGACGGCAAAACGTCCCCCATCCAGAGCAAGTCTCCCACCCTCAAGGACATGAATCCAGATAATTACCTGGTGGTCTCTGCCAATTACAAGGCTAAGAAGGAGATTAAGTGAAACCAGTGGGTCATGACAAGGGGACTCTCACAGTGGCCTGTGTCCACCTCTCCAGTGTAGTCAGTTTAGTTCACAGGCTCCACAAATTACTGAAAAAGGTGCAACACACAGAAAGATGCCATCATATCAAAAAATGTTCAAAGAGTAGCACTATTTATTTTAATGCTTCTGTAGAAAATGACCTATGAAAAGAAATTCTCAATTCACATTTAGATTAGACAAATTTGTAGGCAAATGATTACTTCTCAATAGGTGAATACAGTATTTAGGATACAGTATTAGAAATACACTTCTAGTGAGAGAGAAAAACTTATTAGAAGAAAATATTTAGGATTTACAAGTAAGGAAAACAGAAAGTGCCTGCGTTATGTCTACAAAGAACCCCAGACATTTTTGTAATTGCAGGATTTTTAAGCTAATTTTTAAAAAGTGACAATTCGTGTAATAATGTGCTACTAAAAATACCCAACAGCACTATAAGTCCAGAGTATTCGCAACAGTAATACTTGACTGGAAAGTCCACTTCAGAAAAGTTTACATTCACTCGGAAGATTGCCTTAAAGTTTATCCCTTATCTATGACCAAATATCTGGGGTACTTTTGGAGGTTTTCAGTACACGCCCCTTAGAGAATCACTAATAAACTGGCCCGGACATTCCTCGGGCTGTGTTGAGACCAAGCGTAATCACACCCATAAGCTGACCCATACATTTATATTTTGACAGAGTAAATTGTACAGTCAAATGTTCATTGACTTCATGTTCTTTTAAAGCATTCTTATTAAAGTATATCTTTAGTTAATCCTACTTTGCTATGCTGTCTAGTAAAGTCAATTCACTGTAGCTAATAATGTTACAGACTTATGTATACCCTTGTACACCGAGGACAGAGCTGTTTTGTAACCATGAATGGCAAAATGTTGTCCTCACTGATTCAAAAATTAAAAAGATAAATTGAAAAAAATTTCATCTGTCTCAATATCAATGCCTCATTCTGAAATAACAATAATCTTCACGCGGCATCTCTCCCTGAGAGTTAGAGTTAAATTACTTCTTCACTTTGGGCAGCTGAGGGATGGTGGTGTGTGAAGAGTCTAGTTTTTATCATAGGTGGCCCCTTAAATGCTACCTTGAGTATAAAAAGTATAGGCAGAGGTAATTTGTCATTTCCTCATTTTTCAACATCATCCACCTTTTTTGCTCCAGAAAGTCAGGGAGGAAATGCCTGTCATGTGACCACTTTAGATGCAGACGATCCAACCTGTTAAATGGGAAGTTTGTAAACAACAGGCACCGTGTAATTTGGTGGCACCAAAGTGGTGATAATCATTCTGGGGGAAAATTAAAGTTTTGTAGGAAATGAAATTACCTTGGAACAGTGGCTAAAATTGTAGTGTCTTAAAAACACAGATATTGAGTGATTTGAATTTTATGTTCCTAAGCTAATATTCACACTGAATTGCTCTGTGTAGTAATGGGCAAGAGTATTTCTATCAAAGCCTTCTCCTGTGCTTAAATTTTTCTTGTAAACATAGTTATATCTTTAGTAATTAAATTTAGTTTAAAAAAGAAGTCTAAGTTAACAAAAATAATATTAATCTCTTTGTGTATTTTGTTTTCTGATGTAACAAGTGACCAGAAATTCAGTGGCTTACACATGTTTATTATGGGGCAGTTCTGTAGGTCAGAAGTACAAGGCGGTCTCGACGGTCTCACTGGGCCTAACAGCAAGACGTCAGCAGAACTGTGTTCCTTTCTTAGGAGAGAATCCATTTGTCTGTTCCGCCTTCTAGAGGCTGCCTGGTTTTCTTGGCACACATCCCCTTCCTCCCTCTTCAAAGCCAGCAATAGAACATCTCAGTGATGCTTCTTCCTTTCTTTCCATTTCTTCATCTGACCACAGGCTGGAGAGGTTCTCAACACAGATGGGCATGCACAGCTACCAACCTCTTACTGATCTATTTGTGCCGTTATTACTCAAATCTCAAACTGACAAGTTACTTTTTTCCCTAAGGGTGTGGCATAATTCTTATAAGAAAATAAACAAGGTGAATTGTTGGAAGAGAGGAAAATGCAAGGTTTATGTCAATTCTCCTGGGGGACCAAGGATGATAGCTAGAACCTATTATGGTGGTATTTCTCTAAGAAAACAAGGGACTAGTGACATCATCTCTTCTTTAGAGCACTGGAAAAGAAACACGCCCGCCTGCAGCTTCAGGGGTGGCATGGACACACCGAATAGCTCTTAGCGCTGCTCTCATTACTCCAAAGAGACGACAGTGTTGCTGAGCTTTCCCTAACCACTAACCCAAGTTCTAATTATTTAAGATACAGTGAGGACAAAATTGTGTTAAACAGAGACAACCAAAGCCAACTTTTATAAAGGAAAAATGTGTATTTATATCCCTAGATGGCAATACAGAATTTATAACAAAACCATGTGTGGGAAAACTATTAATTACATTCCGAACACAACTGGCAGAACAGTGACTCGTACAGACGCTTAATAAAACATGCAGTGTGTCAACCAAGAGTTCATGGAATAATATGCAGCTTTTTGTCACCAGCCATGTTATGTTTGACAACTAGAAGAATAAAGCAGTGATTCAGGCATTTTACATCTTATCATAATCATTAAGTATATGCATTTTACTGTTTCATTAACATTTTGGTAATTTGAGTGGGAGGTTTGGGTATATTAAGCATTGTGTTTTCCTATTTAAGTTATGAATTATGGTAAATGGCTCCTCATTAAGGTTTTCATCAGGAAGTGATTCATAACTTTATGAGGGAGATGCCTGGATGTATCTGTATGCATGTGCAAATATTCCTTTTTTAGTAATAATTTACCGGTTTCCTGTCAGGCATTTAGTCTCCCCCTTTCCCTTCCTAACACTGTTCCTAGCATTTGGGTATCACCTCTGAACCCATGTAACCCAAGTGGCCTGGGGAAGCTGCCCACACCCACGGGGGCAGGCAGGTTGTGGCTGGCTGGAGCAGGACCTCCCACAGTACCCAGAAAGCAATGCAGCAGCCTCCCATTCATGCTTCAACAGCGAGTAGCATGGTGTTTGCACATAAGCTGCTGTCAGAAACAGGGAATTATCCCCTAGATGTAAACCTTTTGTGTACACTAACCCAAGTTGTCATTCTTAGGATGCAGTACTGATAAAACTGTGATCTCTATATTAAAACAGGAGGATGGATTTGCACAGTTCAAGGATGATACATCTGGTTCTATATCCTTTCAGCTGTTAATAATCCTTTTTCCTTTCTGCCTTGGAAAAAATCACGTTCATAAAGTCAAAATTTTATTTCTAAAATGAAATTCAATAGTTTCACTATCCTTTATGATTTTGCCCCTAATCCTCTAAGGGATGAAGAAAACTGAGCCTAACTGTATGTCTTGCATGGATATCATGAAATTTTTATTTCATGCCATAATAGAAAGGGTTATTTTTCCAATGATAAGTCAAGAGACCTATATTATAGTTCAAACTCTTTATAATGAACATATACAATACACTGCAATATAACATAAGTCTTATGGTAGGGATGAGCGACACAGTGGCTCACTTTCCTTTCTATAAATCATATGGGCGGGTCTATTTTATTTAGTCCCTATTGACACTCAGTATCTGCAAATTCTAACTTAGGGCTCAGACTGTAGCCTTGCCATCCAAAAGAGTTAGCGATCATAAGAGCTACTTAAAAGATACAGCGATTCTCCCACGTTAGCTCAGTATACATTAAAAAAAAATTCAAAAAACAAAAATGTGATAAAACTCATGTTACTAATAAATAAAAATCTGCAAAATTCATGACTATGCCTAACAGAATTACCTCACAATACTTTTATATTTAAAGCAGTCCTTTTAAAATACAGTACCTATATGTTTCTCTTTCAGGCATTCCTATTTGCCTTGGCAATTTCATACCTGTATGAATCTTATGGTCATTTTTAAATAAATACAAAAGAATAAAAACATCTATGAAATTTGGACAAGTACATTACCGCTTGGTCTAACCCACCCTGATTCTTAGTTTAACTCATTCAGTGACTACACAGACCCTCGCAGTGCGGACTCTGGTACTCTACAGCAGGGCATCGCTGCCCTCTGACGGCACCGCTGGTGTGTGATTTCCAATCCAGCAAGCCAAAAACTTAAACTGTAATATGAAACAGTAGGTTGTGTTCCTAAGCTACACAAGTAGAAAACAAATGAGAAATGCAATATTTTCTACAAATATTCATTACCTAATGAGTTATAAAAATTTACAGTGTTCCTTCATGTAACCCCTTCGAATGATTTTAAGGTTTTCCCTGATGATCAGTTGAAAGGCACTATGTCCAGAAGTTTAAGCAAAAGGCTTCATACGTGATGAAACAAAAGAAGCGTGTGGCTAAGCAGCACAACCATAAACGGGTAGAGCATTTTTATGAAGGAGGAAAAATAAAACTGCAAATTTTAATATTTGAGATGTACGTGGACTCTTTACATGTGACGTATATATATTCACCTTTTAGATTTCACGACTAAAAATGGCAAATTACCCACCACCAGCAGAACAGCAAATGTAGGAAAATAAGTATTCAATGAAAGCTCTGGCCATTTTCCAAGTCTGAAAATCAATATTGAAATCATTTTCAATATTTCAATACTGAAAAAGCATTGCATTTAAGGGCACTAAAATTACAAAGCCTGAATCTTCATTTATTCAAAAAGAAGAAATTAAATAGAGGACGTCCACTTGATTGCAGATGTTAGTTACTGGCAGTAGACTCTCACTCCTATTATCCTTTATGAAACTGTCCACTAGAAAATAAAAACATACAGAGAAAAGTAAATTTTATTTAAGGTTATGTAACAATACTCAAAGTTGAACAGACAGGCAAAGAGAGGCTGATGGGATATGCCAGTGATTTTCAACCAGTATGCCACGGCACACTGGTGTGTCACAAGAATTTTTTAAAAAATCACCAATGTGCCACAAGAATTTTTAAAACATGCAATACCTTCCCTGGCTGGTGTGACTCAGTGGATTGAGTACTGGCCTGCAGACCTAAAGGTTGACAGTTCAATTCCCAGTCAGGGCACATGCCTGGGCATGGGCCAGGTTCTCAGTTGGGGGTGGGTGAGAGGCAATCGATTAATATTCCTATTGCACATCAAAAAAAAAAAAAAACATGCAATACCTGACTATTTAGTCAGGGCACTGACTTATTGACCCTTATTATTGTCAAATAAAAAAATGACAACAGCCAACACAACAGCCATCCAGTGTGAATGAACCAAAATTATACCTATTTTTTTGTTAGTTGGCAAAAAACACATTTTTTGGTATGCCACAGAATTTTAGTAACTAGTTTATATGTGTCATGAGATGAAAGATTGAAAATCACTGGGATATGCAAATGTAAACTGATTTTTGTGAATAGCAGTGATTTATAAAATTTTACTTTACACATACAAAGAAATAAAGTATCTGGTCAGATTAATGGGTAACTAAATCCTAAATATCTAATAATCACTAAGGGGGAAAAAAAGAAGCAAATACCACCAAATAAAAACAATGAAGCTACAAAATGAAAATACAGTAAAGACAAAAATTGTAAACTGACTTAAAACATTATGTCATATATTTGTGACTCCATTTTCAGTCGACATAAATATGCTACTTGCCAATTTCAAATGGAATGCACAGAGCTGCAATCTGATGCCCAACTTAAAAATTTGATCGTGTCTCTTTACTGGACTTTTATAGGTCCTATCTTTCAGAAACAAATATCCCTGGCTTCACAGTCACACCTTATCCATGTCATCGCTATTTGGCAGCATCTACATTTGCAAGCAATTACTTTCAACAATGAGACACATTAAGAGTAAAATTAGAGCCAAAATATCTGATGAGCACCTTGGGAACTCACTGGGAACTGCAACTCCTTCTATCAAACCAGATACTGATGCACTAGTTTCTCAAATACAATGTCAAACATCCCACTAGTTTTATGTTGTCCTCGTTTCTTTTACTTTTATAATAAAAAATTTTAAATCATGATGTTTCATTACTTAGATAGGTACACTTTCTATATTAGCAATCACAAACTTGGGACCTGCTCAAAAATTTTAAAAGATTATCGAAAGGGCCACTGCATAATTAGGTTTGTTATGAGAGACTTTTTTGCTTATTTATTGTGGTGGATATCACGCAAATTATGCGTGGACCTTTTTTTTGCTCATCAGTTGTTAGTGTTTGTGTATTTAATGTGAGGCCCAAGACAACTCTTCTTCCACTGTGGCCAGAGACACCAACAGGTTGGACACCCCTGTCCTACAGACTTGAATACTGTACTCTTTTTTCTGAGAAAGGGATATAGTATACAACATAATATACAGAATTTTAAAACATGTTTTTACCATGGGAGTCTATTTTCCACAGTTTCTCTTTGGACTAGGGTAAAAAACACCAGATCAGAGGTTCTCAATCTGATTTGACATTAGATTACCTCAGGGAGCTTAAAAAAATACTGGTGGTTACACCCCACTCTCAGCGATTCTGACTGTATAAGGTGGGGCACACGGTTCAGCCTCTTTTGCAAGCTCCTCTTGAGACTCCAACATGCAGTCAGGGATGAGAGCCACTGCACTAGAGGTCTGTCGTCACTCCTGTAGTGCTGTGTTCTGTACTGATGCTAGTCTGCATCCTGATGCCAACACCACTTTGACTTCTTAAGATAAGGTTGCCTTTCCAAAAGACAGTGCATAATACCAGTGCCAGTTATCCTGGGCAGAGGAAGAGCTGGTTGGGAGATGACTATGTGGAGGGCATGACAATACACAAAGTATCCTTTTTTTATAAGATTCTGTGGGGAGGCACAACAATATACAAAGTATCCTTTCCTTATAAGATTGTATGAGACAAGTCCCTCAGTACCTCCTTTTCTTCTACTATGAAACAGTAGATCTCAGCATCATTACCAGTCCTATAATTTAATTTTCACAAATTGTTTTTGAGAACCCTCTATGAAGTAAACCTGGTGACACAAATCTTTATCTCAACATAATAATGAAAGTAAGTATCTTTACTTTTGATAACTATTTTACCCTGTATTTCCCACCTGTTTTACTTTATACTAAACTTATTCTATTTTATTGTTGGGGGTATATTAATAAAAATAAGCAAAATGGTTGCAGCTATTTAATATTGAAACCAATTATTTTATACATTGTTAAAAGTTAACACAAAAGTGTTTTAAGTGAAATTAGATAAAGTAACATACAATTGGAAGACACACACAGATAAATCTTATCTCTATGTGATATTTCTGAGCCAGAATCACCTCCACTCAAAATGTTCCTAAATTGCCTGCCCCACAAATACATCTCAGTATTTATATATAGTTTTGAGAGTAAAAACCAAACTGAATTGAGAAGACAGTGAATTGGCTAAACAAGTGCTCATAAATGATTGAAAAGTTAAATCTAATTGACTGAAATTCGGAACATTGTCCTTTTCACAAATATACTTGAGATATTTTCTTTAAAAATGGACCAAAGAATAAAACCTTAGTATTTTAACCATTATTTTCTGAGTTTTAACATGTAAAATAAAACCTTTATCGTCCTACTAGACTGTGAAGATCCCCAAGTTCAAGGACCTTATTTAATTTGCCCACCATTATCCCCCCAGTGTCAAGAGATCCAACCGCTACACTGGGAGGTGCATGCGTCACACTCGCTCCTGTGGGCCCTACTATCCAAATGAACATTTACCTCACTATGACATGAATGACAATGGAAAGATATAAAATATCATGAAGTAGAAAAAGTGTAGGTTTTAAATACAAATTTTTAGTGTAGTCCAACTTAGTAGGATTTATGTGTACACTGAATTTGGGTGATTTTGACTACTTTGTACTCTTTCATATTATCTGAGTGTTCTACACAGTCAAGATTAGTATTAACTATATAAAGTATTAAGATAACCAGCATAAATCTATTTTAATTTTGGGAAAAAGAAAGTAAACCTATACCAAGTAAATGCTAGAATGTCCAAATAAACTGACAGTTCTTCCAATCTGTAGTATCCATGCTTTTAAATTAATTCAAAATTTTCTGATAATACATTTTAAGAGGAAATTATTGAGTGGACTGTCACTGAAGTTTTTAAAAAAATTCCAGGTAAATCTTAAGTAAATTTTAATACTTACTCTAAGTCCACCTTCTGGTGGAGGCCCAGATGTAGCTATTTGCTTTTCTATTTTTTCTTTTTTCTTTCTCTTTTCTTCCACAGACTGAACATTCAAAATGCCCCGAGATGCAGCCTTTAAGAAATTTAAGGAGTACAAAAAACAATAAAATTCAGTACCCAAGTGTCTTGGTCTGTTTCATTTGCTTTCGAGGTGGGGTATTGATCAACTTGGTAACAAAGATTTAGACTGTTTCTATAAGAGCTTTACATAAAAAATCATTTTTTCATTGGGTATTTTGCAACCAATTTTTTCCCTTAAATTAATTTCATATCTGTCAGTATTTTACAAAGCATGGTCATTTTATCTTAGGGAGTAATGTTATTAAAGGGGCATCACACATTAGAGAAGACGTCTATATAATAATTTTCATATATTAAATGATATAAATACATTAATGTAATTTATAGAAACACTGAGATCACTTTGAAAAAATAATTACATTTAAATATAAATTTAAAGGATATCCAATACCATGTTTGTTAGAGAATACTACTAGTCATAGACATCTATCAAGAATAAAGTACAGCCCTGACCATGTGGCTCAGTTGGTTGGGCATCTTCCTGCAAAGGGAAGGGTCACTGGTTCATTCTCAGTCAGGGCGCGAGCCTGGGCTGCAGGTTTGGTCCCGGGTATGGATGCCCGGGTGCCCGGGTGCCCAGGTGCAGAGAAGAAGCCGGCAAGGGAGGGAGGGAGAGAAATATTGATGTGATAGAAATAAGATAGATAAAATCTTAAAAAAGAAAAGAATAAAGTACAAACTTCTCTAACTAGGTAAAATTTCATTTTTATTCTCACCTCCTTCTGTCTTCTCTCTGCAGCTTCTGCAAGCTTTGCTCTTTTTTCTTCCTAGAGAATATATGTAAAAAACATGCTTTAAAATAAAACCAAACATTATCATGGATAATTATACACCTATATATCTCTAATAGATAATATACAGTTTATAAAAATATTTAGTACTGGCCCAAAATGTTCCATCAAGAATGCCAGTATTTACATTTATAAAATAATCAACTTTCTGAATTTCATTCTCACAATTAATCAACATACTTTCAAATAAGAACATGCTGAAACATATATATGATACATATTGTATGTCTTGTGTATTATATATGCATATATATAAAAACATAGATTGGTCTATAAAATTATCTATTTGCCTTTGTTTAAAAAAAGGCTTACAAGCAAGTCAGGGCAATAAAACAAATAATACTTAATAATACAAGGTTTGGCACTACCAGTTATAAGGGGGTTTGAAGTAGGCTGGTGTTTTTAGGAAAGGTTCATGAATAAGTGAGTGAATCTCACTGTGTACGATAGGAAGAACTATGGGATGTTTAGGAAAGGTACTGTTCCATGGTGGGAAACAATGATTTTCTCTAACACGTATTAATTATAGCATTTTTATATAAGACAGTAAGTAGCATACTTGTGTCAGCTGTGTTAATAATTCCCTCGTTTTCCATATATACGTCCATATTCATTCCCTGTAAAAGTACAGTACTTATTGAACACCTATCGCATGTCTTAGGAGCCTGTCGGAGAGCTGAGGATAGAGCATTGAAAAAATACTGATGTTTCCACGCAAATGAAACTTAAATTCTGAAGGCACACAGTCAAATATAATTAACTAAAAAGTGTCTGTCGGTAGTAAATGCTTAGGAAAGAAAAAGAAAGAGAAATAGAAGGATGGGTGGGTGGTATAGTCGGGATCTATTTTATTTAGCACGGTCAAGAAAAACCGCAACAATGAAGTGACATTCAAGTAGTGAGCCACGTGTTTATCTGTGGGAGTGGGTGGAGGGTTTAACAGATGCCTACAGACTGGAAATTTATCAGCAGCCAGACAAAAGTAACAGCATTTAAAAGCAACAGTTGCAAAAAAGGCATGATGAAATCCCTGGTACCAACTTCCAGGTCATTTTCAGTACCTATAACCAAATAGCTGAAGAGCTTATGCACTTTCTTAAATACCTAATTTCTTCACAAGAATTTTTAGCAAGATAGGAGAGAAGAGAGGAATTCAGCTGTTCTGTTAGCAACTCTCAGTAGGCAGTGTTAGTGTAAAGATACTGTTAAAAACAAAGCTACAAAAAGAATAAATGCAGTGTAGCACAAACCGCTAAATTTGAATTTCAGATAAACAACGAATAAGTCTAGTATAAATGTCTCAATATTGTATGCGACAAGCCTATTTTTGAAATGTATTCCTTGTTTATGTGAAAATTCAAATTGGGCGTCCTGTATTCTTATTTGCTAAATATGGCAACTTTTAAAACTGTATGTGCTACGTAAAACAATCGTTTTTAAAGGAAGAACTTAAAAAAGATTAATAAAGGGAAAGTACTAATACAATATCCAGTAAAGCTCAGGTGTATACGGGGCTATATTGAGCACCTTCTTTAAACAGCTCGTACAGACACAGGAATACACACATCTCCTACTAGAAGATTCGACACTTCAGTGCAGAAAGAGGAATTCCTTATTGCACCCTAACTCGTTCACCGCGTCGCCGAGAACGCCCCCTACACCGCACGGTTGGCGTCCGCCGGCGTCCTACCAACTTCCAATTCGCAAAGAGACCCGGGCGCTGCCTCTGAGTAATTTCGTGAAACCAAAGTGGGGAGACCGACGCGGAGGCGGCGGCCCAAGTCCCGCCGGCAGGATCCCAAGGTCCGTCCGGACGCGACCGCACCTCTCCGCCACCAGGGCGCCCACCCGCTGGGCCTCCGGCGCGCTCCGCCTGGTCCAACCGCCCGCACAGGTGCCCGCGGCGCCGGGCCTGGCGGGAGCGCGGGTCCCGGGAACAGGTGCGCGCGGCGCCGGCGGGCGGACGCGCAAACGCGGCCTTACTCACCAGGTTTGGCGAGGGGGGCGCGGACTCCCCGGGACAGGGAAAACACATCCCCATCCGGGCAGCGGCTGGAGACCCCTCCCGCCCCGGGCCGGTAAGCGCAAACGGCGCGGGGATACGCGCGGCCGAGGTCGGCGGCGCTCGCCCGGGCCCCACCCCGCTGGCGGCTCACTCGGGTCGGCTCCGCCCCCGGCGGCAACGCTCCTCCCCTCGCGCCTCCGCCCGGGCCTTGCGCTCGCTTCCGCCCCCCTGAGGCCGCTTCCCACCGCCTCCGAGGGGCCGGGATAGCGGGATTGCGGCTGTCGGACCGGGCCGGGGCGCCGGGGAACGCCTGCTTTGGGCGGCGTGCTGGGATGGGATGGAGAAACTGTATTCATAGCTCCCACCTGCCTGGCCGTTTATAACTGAGTGGCACGACATTGGATGGCTTAGGCTTCTTCTTTTGTGAGATGGGACTCGGACCTCCAAGAAATTAAAATTTAATTGGATTAAACTTGCTGGAATTGCAAATTGACATGAGCACCCTGTTCTGCTTTCTAAGTGACTCGGTATTATTCCAGTTGAGAGAGCAGAGTATGAAGTACAGGATGCAGCCCAAGTAACACCCCTGTTTTTATTACAAAATCTTTTATTACAAAATCATAAGCATGCAATTCTGTAACAAAATAGCACACTGAAGCACACATGTGACATTTTAGGCGAAATGTTCAAATTAAAACCATAAATTATTACACCTATATGATTACCCTACCAACCACACTCATGCAGGCTTACTTCTGCCGGACCCTCTCCCACTCCCTGTAGGTCACTATGGTTTAGAAACCAGCCTCTTGAACATGGCGTTAGTTGAGGTGCCCATTGGTTCCTGATTTTTTTGGATTCACTTAGCCTTACAACGGTAATGATGGAGGTTGATCTATTCAGAAATATTTTAATTGTTTTTCAAATTTCAATAGGCATAAAATCATCTGGGCATCTAGTTAAAATGTAGTTTATGAGTTAAAAAAGTTTGGGGTGAAACCTGCAATTCATTTCCAGTAAGCTCCTGGGTAAAGGTAAAGTTTCTGATCTCTTCACACATCTGCTTTTGATTTTTTTTTCTTGCATTATACTAGTTTTCCTTGCTTGTTGGAGTATCTTCAAATACCACAGAAAGGTAGGTTGTAAAGTGACCATTAAAACCTCCAAAACCACCATTATATGGTTTAAAGTCATACGTTTAAGTCTTTAATCCATTTTAAGTTAATTTTTGTGAGCTGTGTAAGACTGAGGTCCAATTTCATTCTTCTGCAGATTGTTATCCACCTTTCCCAACATCATTCAATTATTGAAAAAACTATCCTTTCCACATTGCACACACTTAGCTCCCTTGTCCAATAGTAGTGAGCTCTATATGCAAGGGTTCATTTCTGGGCTCTTGATTCTGTTCCATTGGTCTATGCATCTATTTTTATGGCAGTCTATACCTTTTGATTACCATAACTTTGTAAGATAGTTTGAAATCAGGAAGTGTGATCCCTCCAGCTTTGTTCTTCTTTGTTGAGATTGTTTTGGCTATTCGGGGTCTTTTTTGATTTCATACAAATTTTAGAATTGTTAGTTCCATTTCTGTGAAAAAATACCATTGGAGTATTAATAGGAATTGCATTGAATCTGCAGATTTCTCTCGATAGAATGGACACTTAAACTATTAATTTTTGTGATTCATGAATACAATATATCTTTCCATTTATTTGTGCCCTAAGAAAACACTGATTTGCTTTTTGTTTGCTATAGATTGACTGTATTTTATAGAGTTTCAGATAAATGGAATCATGTGTACTTCTTCAACATAAAGTTTTAAAATTTATTAATGTTACTGTGTGCATGTATCTTAAATAATACTCCACTTTTATAGATGTATCACATTTTTAAAATGAATTTAGTTATTCATTGACATATGGGCTGTTTGCATTTTGAGGCTATCATGAACAAAGCTCTATAAATATTTGTGTACAGTTCTTTGGGTAAAAATGTACAAGGCCTGTCCAGAAGGTATCTAGCCACATAATATAAAAAATAGAGACATTCATTGGAGAAGATAAGACACAAGAAACATTATACACAGAACAATGATATCCCAGGCCCCTTCAAAGTAGGCAACTTGAGATCTCACACAGTTCTTCCAGTCATCATCAGCTGCCCCATTGTATTTTCCTGAGTCTTAATCACAGTCTGAAATCTCTCTCCTTTCAAAGGTGATTTTAGTTTTGGGAAAAGGCAGAAGTTGCAGGGTGCCAAATGTGGGCTGTAGGGGTGCTGAGTCACCTGACTGATATTTGGCCTTAAAACTGCACAAGATGTGATGCATGAGGAGGCACATTATTGTAATGAAGCAGTGTCACCAATTGCCTATGGAGTGTTCAAGCTTAATGCAAAATTTCATGCACATTCCTTACTCTACTCGCTCAGTCATTTTGAATGTGATGGCCACACAGTACACATGCTCACTAGCATCTACCACCTCTCTGACTAGCACAGAGAAGTCATTATTGGTCACACATGTGTATTCCAGTCCACTCTCTTTGGCTGCCAAGTTACATTGATGTCACACAAACTGTTCTTGCTATACTAACAATGACTGGACTTTTTCTGGACAGACCTTGTGCCTTATGTGCCCAACAGATGGTCTATTTTTTGTGTGCTAGTGTACACTTGAAAGAATATCTGTTCTGTTGATGTTGAGTGGAATATTTTATAAATATCACTAAAATTGCTGAATGGTAGTGCTATCTCCTAAATCTTTAATAATTTTATATTTATTGCATCATATTTCAAGAGAGGAATGCTATATTTCAGTTATAATTGTGGATGTGTCTATTCTTTGAATTCTTCTAGTTTTTGTTTAATGTCTTGATGCTTTGTTATTGAGTGTATGTCTTTGTGATGAATGAAGCTTTCATTATAAAGTATTTATCTATATACATGATAATATGATTTATTCTGAAAACTAATATGTATTAGTAACCATTCTAGCTTTAAAATTTATATTTTCATGGTATATACTGTTGCATCATTTTATTTTTAAACCTATCAATGTTTATATACAAAGCATGTTTCTAATAGACATTTTGTAGTTTGTTGGGAACTGCCCTGCCTGGTATCAGAAGCTGTAACCCCTGCCAAGGCTAAGGCTGAGGGAATGACCTTGGACCCTGAGCCAGCAAGGAGACAAAAGCTTATCTCCCTGGCAGGAGCACCACTTCTGCCCCTTTTACTTCACCCTGCCTGGCCCCCAATGCTTGGTCAGTTAGCCAATGATGGGTAAGATTCCCCATGGGGCGAACGATCTAAGTAAGACAGGCACAATCATGTGGGAGGCCCCCATGGAAGGACTTTGAGGGTTACAGCAAAAGGGGGTGATGGACCCTTGCCCCTCGGCTTTGAAATAGCCTGAGTCCTCATTGTCTGAGAGAGAATCTCCTAATCTCTTGGCTGCCTTAGTTCCCTTGCTCCACCTAAGCCTGAAACAATGAAGAGGGTGGTTCAGCCCTGTGCTGGAAAGGGCTGGTTTCCCGGGTGATCAGGCTGAAGAAAAAATATGTAAAATCCTGTGAAACCTGCTTTGTTTAGAATGCTCTCAATGAAATGATAAGGGTCCAAGCAAGAAGTAAGTTTGTTCCTTAAAGTTTTTACAGCTCTTTAGCTGTCTGACCCTGATCCAAAATAGGCCCTCAGAGTTCTTTGTTATCTATTGTTTGATCCTTACTTCCTGGCAATGATTAATGAGCTTTACCTGAATTCCTGTGTAAATGAACCCAATAAAAGCTTGCTCGGGTGGGAGAACGGGGTGTGCTCTCCCCTAAAGAGGGTGGCCATGGCACTCCCCACTAGAGAGAGTGGCCATTTCGTTCCTATTTCCCCACAGGACTCAGTTGTCTCTGTATGTTTTTCTTGTGTTTCAATGAGCCATCCGCAGTGTTCTGAAGTCACTGCTGGTCGGTGGCCGCATCAGTAGTTGGCTTTGCTTTTTTAAATACCTTGATAACCTCTGCTTGTTGAAGAAATTTCTCCATTGGTTTTGCATGTTCCTGTGTGTTTTCTGAGCGAAGTTTTAATATTTTTTTCCTCTAGACTGTCTTTTAAAGATGTTTGTATAGTAATCAAACTTGGAAGATATACAGTCTAGATCAGATTGGCTTACTATCCAGTACAATGGAGATAATGCCTCTCTCTAGGGCAAAGTTGGGCAGGTTTGCTTAGCAACCCCTTAGGTAAGATTGGGGCTTCCTTAGTTGTAACACAAACCCACAGTGTCCACAGTATCCACCTGGGCTCACCTGTGTAAGAACCTCATGAGGCTTGACGAGTCAAGGGAAACTAATCCAAACATGCATTTGAGAGCCTCCTGTGCCCAGAGAATTGTAGTAGGGTTATTCGTCTCCACCCAGTAACTCTCATTTTCTGCCAGCATCTACAAAACTGTGATGGTCTAACTTATTTCTTGTAAGTAGAATAAAATCTCAAATCCATCACTCTTTAAGATGCTGCCTTTTAATTGGAGTGTTTAGATCATTTAGATTTAATGTGGCTATTGATTGATTTGGGATTTAATCTGTTATCTTGCCATTTGTTTTCTTTATTATCAAGTCCATTCTTTTCTTCTTCTGTCTTCATTTGGATGGGTTTTAAGCATTCTATTTTATCTCTGTTAGCTATACTTCTTTCTCTGTGTGTGGGGGGGTGGTTCTCTAGTATTTGCATTATCCAATTGTATATGTAATTAACATATCTAATTGTCCCTTCAGTTAATACCTCTTTTCACATAAAATATAAGAAACTTTCAATGATTGTACTCTTCCACCCTTTGTTATGGTTGCCATGCATTTACCCTTACAGGTTATTAAAACCATAATAATTACTTTTGCTTAAAATATTCAATTAATTTTTAAATAAAATATTAGAATACAATGATTTTATATTTACTTATATGTATATCATTTCCAGAGCGTTTCATTGTTCTGTGTAGATCCAAAAATCTACCCGATACAATTATTTTCCCACCTAAAGAACTTTCTCCTACAAGTCTATTGTTACAGTTTTTGGCACTGCTGAAAAATAATCTGCATTTTTGCCTTCAGGTTTGAAGGACATTTTTTGCTCCATAAAAAACTTAAGTTTGATAGGTTTT